GAGCGGCCTGAGCCCTAAACCGGGGACATCGCTTTGAAATGCAGCGTGGAGATCGGGGAGTGATGAGGTCTGGCCGCTGATCTTCATCGGGGACTGGTGCCACCCCTCAAACTCCCCAGGCCGCAGAACCCCGCCTTTGGGACAAGCAGAGTGCCCCCAACCACAGAACTCAGCCTTTGGGGCAAGCAGAGTGTCCCCAAGCCCCAGAACCCACCTTTGGGGCAAGCAGAGTGTTCCCAACCACAGAATTCAGTCTTTGGGACAAGCAGAGTGTCCCCAACACCCAAAACCCCACCTTTGGGACAAGCAATGTCCCGAGCACCAGAACCTCACCTTTGGGGCAAGCAGAGTGTCCCCAAGGCCCAGAATCCCACCTTAGGGACAAGCAGAGTGTCCCCAACCCCAGAACTCACCTTTGGGACAAGCAGAGTGTTCCCAATCACAGAACCACGCCTTTGGGACAAGCAGAGTGTCCCCAACACCCAAAACCCCACCTTCGGGGCAAGCAGAGTGTCCCCAAAGCCCGGGCGGGGTTTGGTGCTCAGCAGTCGTCCTTTCAACGCTGGAAGAGTAAACAAACCGATGGCGAGGACGGCGTGGAATTCCGGAGAGATGGAGAGGATGAGGCAGCACATCCACGGCTTCCTCCTGCCCCACAGGGAGCCACTGGGATGGGGAGAGCTCCCTCCCTGCACTGGGGACACTGGGGACAGTGCAGCCTGAACACCTAGTGGGAATCAGGCACCTGGGCACCACAGGTGAGTGCCTCAGGACAGCCCTGGGCTACTCCCTCACCAGGGATGCCTCACTGAATTTTGGGTTTCATTCGGTGCTGGAGAATTTTCTGCATTTTGCCCAATGCCGCTAATTAGCGGTAATTATGTAGAGATTCAGGGAATTTCTGATGAGAGAGACACAGGAGAGACCCCTCCCTTCAGCTCCCCCATGGCCCTTGCAGGCAGCAGACTCCCTTTTTCCCTCTTTCCCCCTTTCCCTCTGTCCCTTTATTTCTCTTTCCCTCTTCCCCTCTTTCCCTCTCTCCCTCTTTCTTTCCCTCTTTCCCTCTCTCACCTGCCCAATGCTGGTAAATATTTTCCCCCCCTCTTCTCCCTCCCTGATATTTAAATTACCAGCAAACTCAGAGAACCTGGGATGCTTCAGCTGCAAAGGACAAGCACTTGATTGAGGCAAATAAAAAAGAAGAAGAAGAAAAAAAAGGAGGATTTAAGGTTGCAGCATCCTTCCCTCCCACAGGCCCCACAGGTCTCACCAGCCACAAAACTCTGAATTTGTCTGAACATAATTTTATTGAACATAATTTTATTGGGTCACACAAAGGTTTGGGCAGTTTCAGCAGGGTTCATGCTCTGCCCCTGAGTTCCACTGACACATCTGGGATTAAACCACCAGCAGTCACATCCATGCTCTCAATACAAAAAATTCCAGATCTGCTGGGAAAACCCAAGAGCTCAGACAAACCTCCCTGGGATTTTTCCAGTTCCACTTGGACAAACAGAGTGGCTCGATCCTGCCTTGGGATCTGCTGCTTTCTGTGGGATTCAGCCACAATTCAGGGAGAAAGTTCTCCATCAGATAAAAACTGCAAGAAATAAATTGTGTCAAATCATGCTGGTCAAATCATTGCCTATGACTGGATCTGGCCAAGCAGGCTCAACTATTTCAGGGGGAAAAAAAGAGTTTTAAGGAGTGGTTGTGTCTCTGGATGTGCAGGGATGGAGCTGCTCCTCCCCACCACCTGTGGGATGCACCACTCCTGGCTCTCACACACACATCCTGCAGGGAAGAGGTGTCTGAAGGGAAAGAGTTCAGCTCTGGTTGTTCGAGAGTCTAAAACAAACATCCCTGGAAAATTTCCCCAATTGTGGAACTTCCCTGCTGTTATCCAGACATCATTTCTCCCCTCTCCAGTTAGAGCTGTCCCACAAAAAGTCACTGACTCCTAAAAGAGATGAACGCACCACAGAGGATTCTTAATCCAAAATCAGGCTGAGGGACTCAGCCTCGATAAATTTTGGGTAGAAATGGCCATAAATCCCTCATATCCTTGGGGATGTGTCTCCATCCTTTGCCACACCACAGATGGGTTCTTGGCAGCACATCCCACAGGTAACACAATTCCTTGGTGCAGGTGTTCCCTGGGGGTGCAGCAGTGTGGCTGAAGGCTTTGCTCATCCTCTTCCTCCCCTTCACAATCCAGTGGTTTGGGAAGGGCTGCACTCCTTCCACAGCCTGCACACCAGCAGGAGCATTGCTCATTCCCAGAGTACGACAGGCATCAGCCCGAAACATTTCAGAGGGAGCTGCAGGGAAGTGAGCCCTGAGTCCTTTCCCCAGGTGCTTTCCCCAAATCCCACAGCAATCCCATGAAAGTTTGGGAGCCCCTTTGGCTGTGTAAGGCAGAGCCCATGGGGTGAGCCCAGGACTAAACCAGTGATTCCCAGTGACTCCCAGGCCAGCCTTGTCCTGCCCCAGGAGCAAGAGGAGATGCTGCCCCACACGTATCCAGAGGGGCTTGGAATTCCCCCAGCAGGGAGAGAGACCCTGGTTGCACATCAGGCCCATCACAGGTGAGGAAGGGAAGGGACCAGAGGTGATTTCAGACACAAATCCAGATCCAGAGGCCACCCCTTCAACACCTCCCAGGGGGAGACGCTGGGAATTCCCACTCCATCCTCACAGACCCTTTGGCCCCACTGCTGCTCATCCATCACGGCCATCCCAATCTGTCTGTGCTCATCTGCACCAGATCCATGGATTTCCACACCCAAGGGAATGCTGGCAGTGCCAGGCACCTCACCAAGCTCCCGCTGCCAGGATGGAAACCCCCTGTGCAATCCTAAATATCCCAAAGACAAAGGCCTTGAAGGGCAAAACCCCCTCCTGGCTCAGGGGATGCTTTTTAAGCTGTGGATAAATGCAGGACTTGCCTTTGATGTCCCTCTCAGAGTCAGGGAACAGCTGGATGAGAACCCACCACAAAAGGGAATTCAGGGCTGTCATTAGCGGTGGCTTGGGGTGGCAGAGGCTTGCTGTGGGTTCCAGGCAGCTCCTCGATTGGTCCCTCTCGAGTGAGGCCACTTAAAACTCCATATTACACGTCAAAAAAGGCAATGGAAGCATCCCCAGCTTTTTGTATTTCGGTTCTCTCAAGGGTTTGTGAATGAGGCGAAAATAAAACACCCCAGAGCCATCAAAGAGCAAAGCGAGATGATTGTGGTGAGGAGGGAGGGAGAGGAGGAGGAATGGTCACTCAGTGTGCACCCAATTTCTTCCTGGAGCATCCCAGAACTCCCCACACACGGGAAACCCAACCTCCCTTCCCGCACAAAGTCTTGGGAAAATAAATCAATAAACAGATTGCACAATGTAGCTGAAAAGTCAGAGGAATGGTAGCACTGGAAGTCACTTTGTCATGGTGGAGCCCATTCAGGATAAAATTTTATTCTCCTCCCTCTTGAATCATGGGTTTGCAAATAATCAACAAATAATGAATGCCTGATTATGGAAGAGCAGCCCCAGTGCTGTGTGGCAGAAACCCACCCAAAATTTGGCCTGTCCAAAGTCCCAATGGAGCACATCAGTGGCTCAATATCAAAATGTTGTCACCTCCAGGGCCAGCAAAGATGTCCAGCAGGGATTTGGCTGTGTTGTGGCAGATCTGGGAAAATCCCTGTGACATCCAGCTCCATCTACCTGGTTTGTGTGGCTGCCCAGAGACACCAGCTCACCTAATTTGTCTTAGGGAGGTTTTGACTTTGGAAAATGTGTTGTATTTTTTTCCCTGGATCTCCCAGCACCTGTGAAGGGATAAATCAACTCAGTGGCGTGCCTGAGACCATCTGGCCGGGCACATCATCAGGTTTGTGCCACTGGCATGAAGAAAATGATAAACAAGCCCAGATTTTCCATGTGGCTGTTGCCGTTGTGCCGGGATTCAAACAGGAATCCGGGAGCAATCCCAGTTTAGCTCCACCCCGTTGTTCCAGGCTCTGTTCACACCCTGAGGGCAGGGAACAGCACCTACTGGGTTTGGGGTTTTCCTGCTCCACCTCAGCCATGGGTGAACCAAAGAGCTTCACTCTTCCTGCTCCCTAATTGATGATAACCATTGATTATCAAACAGGGAGAATCCCTTGTGTCCTTCCAGCAGCTCCTGCCCCTGGTCACCAGCAGGGACACTGGACACCTCTCCAGTGCCCCATGCAAACAACATTTACGCCCCTAAATACCCACTCTCTACTTTGTGCAGCTCGATTTTAAAGGCAAACAGCAGCTTTTCTCCATCAATAATTCATGGGCCACTCCAGATAGCCATCAAATACGTAACCAAATTAAGTGAACAGTATCTTGAGGTTTGCAGCCCAAGGTTTCCTGCCTCAGCCCGCAGCATGCCTGCCTCTGTTTGGGTTGCCACTTAATCACTGCACAATATTTGCTTTGGCTTGGCTGTATGTGAGGAGGGATTTATTCCATCCCATCTGGCTGCAGCAGGGGGAAAAGCCACCCTTAACTCCTCCTCTGGCTGCCTTGGGGACTTTTGGGAAGGAACTCCACAGTGGAGCAGCTAAAAATGTTCCAGCTACCTGCTTTGACATGCTGTTTATCCATACTGTCAGTTTTTAAGGAATAACTCCCACCACTCCAGGCTTCTTCTTTCACCTCCTGAGCTGCCCACGCAGCTCTTGGATGTAATTGCACTCAGAGCAATCCCAGCTTTGTTTGTGTCCCTCGAAACCCCCCAAAAATAACGACAAGGGTTTAATCTGCATTTATTTGGGATGATTTCAGCGTGGCTCAGCACAGCTCCCGGGGAGCTGGAGAGGAACAAGGAGCCCATTGTGCCTCGTGTGCCACACTCGAAGCCCATCAAAGCCAGCACCAGCCTCGAAGATTCTTGACTTGAGATCCACTGGAAAAGCTCCCAGTGACTTCAGGAGGCTTTGAATCAGGTGCTCCAAGGAGAAGCCACGCTGGCGGCGGCAGGCTCCGTGTTCATCGCTGTTTGGAGATGGAACAAGAAGTTCTGAGAAGCCACAGAAGCAACAAACCAGAAAATATCAACAACAAACCACACTCGACAGCATTATCTGTAATCGAGTGTGGAATGAGTGGAGAGAGCATTGAGTGCTTCCCAGATCTGCCCTGAAAACTTTGGGACTGGGGAGGAGGGTGAGAGCAGAGAACTCACACCTGCAGCTGAGTTTGCCACAGCTTGGGCACGGAGCAGCTCCCTGGCATGGAAAAATGGGAGCAGGGAGATCATCAGCCCAGCCAAGCCCAGCCCAGCCCCACCTGCTGGGTGAGACACAGGGGAGGAACAACCCCAAAAACAACAGAAAGCAGCAGGGCAGGCACTCAGTGCATCCTCCTGAGGGACCAGCACCTTCCTCAGGCAGCTCTGCACCCAGAAAACTGCCTGGGAAACCTGTTATCCTTGGAATGCTTGCCTGGAGTCTCCAGCCAGCACCTAGGGAGGAAGAAGAGACAATTCAGCTGTTATTCCAAGGGAGGGAAAGCAGAGCCAGCAGGAGAGGACCCACTGAGCAGCAGTGGCACGGGAGGAGCAGTTTTACCCCTCGAGCAGCATCTGAGGCACCAGGGTTCATGCTTCTGAAAATCCCTGGCACCCGCTGTGCCACAAAAGTCACTCCACGAGGCCATCCCAGGCTCCATCAGGAGGGATATTAATTACCACAGAGACACTTTTCCCTCCCATGTCTGGATGTGCGCTCGGTGGTTCCTGCGCTGGGGAAATTGCCGCTCTCTCCTGATTAAGTGCTTAATTGTGGCCAGAGCTTCCTCAAGTGTTCCCAGCCCTGAGCTGAAGTCCCACTTCAAACACGTGGTGTTATTGACTTCCTTATCAATTTCCTCCCCGGGAATCCCTTCCAAAGGGTGCCTGAGGGGCCCTGGGTGCATCCCTGTTCTGCAGGGAACCAAGTGGAGAGCTGGGTGCACGGAGAGCACTCACGAACTTGGGCTCCAACAAGATGTTTGGCAGACAAAACCAAAGGAAATTAACCATGATTTTAGCAGCATTCCCATCCCTGGGAATGCTCAAGGCCAGGTTTTGAGAACCTTCATTCTGCTTGAGGCAGTTCCCACCCGTGAAATCTCACCCACAGCTCCACAAAAAGTTTCTGGCCATGGGGAAAAGCTGAGGTTAAAATCCCCGTAGGCCTCGCGACAGTGACACCAGCCCCGGCTCAGAGCTGCTTAATGGTTAATGGAATAATATTTCCATCCGTTGTAGATGAGAAAAGATAATTACTTTCGGGGTTTAAGAACCAAATGTGTTGATCCAAATGTAATCTCAGTGTTTTAGCATCTGATTATTACATCAGAAACACAAATGTCAACGGGCTGCAGCAACCGGGTTGTTGGAGGGGGGAAAAGGAGATGTGTGACTTAAATCACACACCAGGGGAAAGATGCCCCCAAGGGACTTTTAACTTGAGTTAATTAAAAATACTCTACTTTCCCGAAGCATTTTGGGGGCTGGGAGCTCATGTTTTCCCTCAGTGATCCTTCTGCTACACCCAGAACAAGGGACAACCAGAGGGGACAGCTGTGGGTCATTCCCTGCTCACCCAAACCAGGGATACAAATCCCAGATGGCTCACTCCCCACAGGAAGGAATGGCTGCAGGAATGTCATACACTGAGAGTGCTTTAGTGGTGCTTTTTTCTGGAATTCATTCTCTCACCTCCATGGGCCCAGCTGGGCCTGTTTGTCCCAGCTGTCCTAAACCTGTAGAACATGGGAGAGATTTCCTTTCCAACACAGACCATCGCAGAACCTGCAGCAGCAGCCCATCCCTCAGGCAGTTTAGACAGGAGATGACAGGATTTCTGTTCCCCAGGAGTCCCTGTTCCCCAGGAATCCCTGTTCCCCAGGAATCCCTGCTCTCCCTCTCCCAAAAGCATCCAGCACACGCAGGGACCAGCACACGACGTTAACACGAGCGTGCTGCCAAGAACCAAACTGGAATTGTGGTGCTTTCCTGCTGAACAAAGCCCTTGCCTTGATTTCTCAGCCAAGTTCAAGTTCCCAGCGGGCTGATTTCCCCCACCCTGTCCCTGAAGCACCCAGAGCTGTATGGAATTTTATTAAATTGCCAGCACGGGCGGCCGCTCAAAGTTTGTGTGGCTTGATGTGATCGATGGCAGCAAAACACGGGAAGAAAGGAAGGGGGAGGGGGGCACCTCTGTTTGTTAAAGCTTTTTCTTTTCCCTTTTGAATAAAATGTCAACTCCATTATATAGATGTCAACTCCATTACTGCAACACTCCCGTGGCAGCCTCAACATGGAACTATCTGCTAATAAAACAACTTTCTCGCAGGGGGAGCAGAGGGCAAGTTACCTGCTGGAGGTTCCAATCTGGTTAAGAAAATTCCTGTTTATCCCTGCAGGCACAAACACCATTTCCATTATCCTGGTTTCCTCCTCGTCTTTGTTGGCCCCAAAGTAAAAACCTGCTCTTGTATCCTGATGAGCCCGCGGTGGTCACAGACCTTTCCTCGTTAGAGAAGGTGGAAAATGAGGAGTGCAGTGCCTGGTGTGCTGCAAAAAAAAAAAAAAAAAAATCTGGGTTAGAATCGTGGAATAGCCTGGCATTGAAGGCACATGAAAGGTCCCCTTGTTCCAGCAGCAGCCAAGGTGGCAAAAACAGAGAAGGGGGATGCTCCAGGGGGATGTGCTGCAAAACCCTCTGAGGGGAGTTTGGGGACAGGTGCCCCCCAAATCAGCAAGATCTGCCCACAGGCAGAAGGTACCACAAGCACCACCCCAAAAGCTCTTTCAGAGAAGCCCCTGGAGGGGTTTGGCACATTTGCATGCCTGGGAAACCAGGATACACTTGGAAAGAGAATTTGGGAGGGTGAAAATGGGGGGCTCCCATACTTCCACAGCTCTTTTGAGGTACAAATTCTATTTTTAAACAGCCAGGAAGGTGGGGAAGCCCCTGAGCCTTGCCAGGCATGAGTTGTGAGAGGCCAGGGCTCCTCCTTCGCTCTCAGGTTCGCTGGCTGCACACATCCCCACGCAGACAGACAAAGATGAGAACATATTTAGACAAGAATAAAGAAACCCATTCCACGACGGGAGTTGTTTAGATAATTGATTTCCCTTGGACTTACAAGCACTAAATAACAGCCAGGCAGGCACATCTCCCAGATAACCTTTTCCTTCAAATCTCTCTTCCAAAGGATTGGCCTTTGACAGAGGCGTCGCTGGGAGCGCAGCTCTGAGGCAGCTCGTAGGTAGGACCTTGCTGAGAGAAGGCCGTGACTGTTCCTCAAGCAATTATTTTTTCCCCCTGTATCCTTTGCATAGAGAGAGCTAATTAACTGCCTGCCAGGTTCTGCAGATCCAGGGCGCAGAATGAAGTAGCACAAATGTCATAATTAATTAGCAGTTTAACGCCAGAACGAACACAGCAAAGGTGCCCTGTCAATATTCCGGCGCTGGGATGGGGAGCATTCCACATACCAGGCACTGGGGCACATCCAGCCTGGACAGCAGAGAGGCTTTCTTCATGGAAAGGGTGGTCAGGCATTGGAAATGCCCAGGGAGGTTTGGAGTGGCCCTGGGGTAGCACTCAGTGCTCCGAGATGGGGACAAGGTGGGCGTCGGGCGCAGCTTGGACTGATGGGCTGGGAGGGATTTTCCAGCCCCAGTGGTTCTGTGATCACACCACAGAGCCCCAAACTGTTGGAAGCTCAGCTGGAATCACCGAGAAATGAGGAATAACCTGTCAAGTCCCCCTGTGGAGCTGGGCAGGGACAGCCCATGCCAGGCTGGGATCATCCCTGTCCCTGCGCCACCACAAGGCGTGCCCAGCCCCAGGCCCTGCTCTTTCCCAGGGACATCATCCATCCTACCTTTCCCTCATCCACCAGGACATTTTGTTTCCCTATTCTTAGTGAGAACGACCCTGCCAGTGGCCCCCAGGCAGGCCCCAGCCCCTGTCCCAGCCCACCTTGCAGTGGGGACAAGGGTGTGTTTGGCACAGAGACACAAAGCTGTCACACACACCCAAAGCTGTCACACACCTCCCATGGGCAGAAATTCCTTTCCCAGAGATGGAAGAGGGGCTCAGCAGCATGGAGTCACCAGCTTCCCCCTGGATCAAGGCTGACAGAGAGGGGTTAGACCTGGAGCAAGCCCCACACCAGACCTGCCACAACAATTGAAACTGAAACAATTAGAGTCATCAAGGCTGGCTCCTGGCAAGAGCCAAAACCCAAGAACTCCCTGAGAAAGCTCTCAGCCCTACCCTTGTTCCTTGAGCAGATGTTCCCAATGCTGCTGGGCACTGGGGAGTGCATCCCACACACCAGGAGCCCAGGAGGGCACAGCTCTCCATGGGACACCCCAAATCCTGCCCATGTGAGATCCACAGCTCTGAAAGTAAAAACCCTAGTGGCACTGTCGTATTTTCTGGAAAAATCCCCTTGCCCAGGATTTTGCTCCTGGGAAGCTGAGAAGCCTCAGAGAAAAAGGAAAACAATAATTATCCCATTTGCTTCTCCTGTGTTTTGCTGCTTTGGAATGTTGTTGGAGATTGTTTATCCAACGTGTGAATTGTTTCGACTTAATGACCAATCAATGTCCAGCTGTTTCAGACTCTGGAAGGAGTCACAAGTTTTTCATTATTATCTTTCAGCTTTCTGTCTGTATCCTTGCTCTATTCTTTAGTATAGTTTTAGTGTAGTATTTTTTAGTATTATATTTATTAATATTAAAATACTGTAGTATTTTTAAGTATTATATTTATTCAGGTGCCTTCAATGCCAGGCTATTCCACGATTCTATTATATTTAGTATTATATTTATTTAGTATAGTATCTTTAATACAATATAGATCATAAAATAATAAGTTAGCCTTCTAAGAACATGGAGTCAGATTCATGCCTTCCTTCCCTCATCTGGGGACCCCAAAAATACCACACCCCAAGACTCAGGCATGATTCCCAAGGGTTCCAAAGCAGGGCAGATTCCTGCGGGAAAATAAGAGCAAGGACTTACAGGCATCCGTGTCTCCTTCCATCCTCAGCTCCCCCAGCTCCACTCCCTTCCCCATTCACCGTGGGAGATGTTCAGGGGGAAAAAGCAAAGCGAGGGACGAAGCCCCTCATCCCTGCATCCATTTGGGATCATCCTGCTGCCAGTGCCGGGCAGTGCCAGGTGGGAAGGCAGTGCTGAGCCTGGTTTGGGTGATTGAAATGCCATTGCTGCCTTGCAGAGCCAACTCCATGGTGACAAGCAGCTCCGGGAGCCGTGACACCAGCAGGTCAGAGCCGGCACGGCAGCTCCGGGAGGGAACAATGAGGAGGAGCAGGAACCTGGGCTCCGGGAAAAAGGATGGCCTTGAGCAGGAGAGAACAGCACGGCACGCAGGAGAAGGTCCTTAACTTCGGTTTCCTCTGTTTTTTAACCTAATGAAGTCTTTTATTAACCCCATCTGGAAGGGGCCAGCACCTCTCCAACATCTGCTCGGGGGCTTTGTTCAAGTGTGAAACTTCTCTGCTGTTTTTCCGAGCCTGGCTTATTCCAGCACTTCAACAATGGGGTGTTCCCAGGGATTTCTCTCCCCACAAAGTGCTGACTCCTGCAAGTGAGAGCCCCAAACCAGTGGTTGGGCAATGTCCATCAGCCATGAGGGACCGTGCACTGCAGAGCTCCACACGGGAATGCTGCTCCTCATGACAGCGGATTCCCAAAGCTGGGAAGGCATCAGTGTCACAGACATCTTTTATGAAAAATCCTTTCCTTAGGATTTTTCCTCCTGAGAAGCTGAGAGGCCTCAGGAACAAAATGTAAACAACGATTATCTGCTGCTGTGGAATGCAACAGGTGCATCTGGGATTGGTCTCATGTTGGATGTTTCTAATTAATGGCCAGTCACAGCCCAGCTGGCTCGGACAGAGAGTCTGAGCCATAAGCCGTTGTTATCATTCCTTCCTTTTCTATTCTTAGCTGGCCTTCTGATGAAACCTTTTCTTCTATTCTGTTAGCATAGTTTTAATGTAATATATATCATAAAATAATAAATCAAGCCTTCTGAAACATGGAGTCAGATCCTCGTCTCTTCCTTCAACACAAGACCCCTGTGAACACGGTCACACATCAGCAGGGCACTTTTCCATCCTGCTACTGCCTCCCACAGCCCAGAGGGAATTTCCCTGTGGAACAGCTTTGGATCCAGGCAGAGGTGGCTACAGCAGCAGGGATTTCTGTGGAGGAAGCCTGGGAGACATCTCCCACCACCACCACGTGCTCTTTTGAGAGCAGAACTCATCTCCTTGGGGGCCATGTCCTTCACAAATCCAGTGTAACAGACTCCTCCTGGCCCTGTCTTGTCCTGCTCTGTTATTGCCAGCTCCGGCCATTCCCCATCCAGGATCTGGATCACTTCCACACCAGGCTGTCCCACAAACCCCGGGATGCTGCCCCGCAGCCTCCCTGGGTCCCTCAGTGGGATTTAAAGGATGTCTGTGTGGTGTTTCCCAGCCCTGCACGGTCTGGAGCTGGCAGGACCCAGCAGGGCCAGGAGAAGTTGATATCCAGCCATGGAAAATCCAGAAGGATGAAGGATCCAGCAGCACAGGGGCTCAGGGGCCCTTGGACAGGTCCCGTCTCGAGGTGATCCCACAGGTTTGTCCCAGGTTTATCCCACCTCTGCCATGTCTGGGCTCCCGCTCCTTCTGCTCCAGTGATGGGAAGCAAGCCCTGAAGCTGCTCCTCAGCTGCCACAGGCAGGGGGGTAAATATCCCAAAATCCCAGCTGATCCCCATTTCACACCCACAACTGCACCTCTGGACCATCTTCCTTGTCTCTCCACACCCCTGGGAAACAACACATTCCCAATTTCCCTGTCAGCTCCTGCACCCATCAGACGCAATCTTACTCCTCAGGGTTGCACAGAAAGGAGGGATGGATTTTTCCTCCAAAAGAGGGGATTTCTCCCCACTTCGGAGCTCCAGGGCACCGAGTCAATATGGTTACTCCTAACCGTACATGGAATATTGCTCTGATTTTAAAATTTGTGGAGATCATCCTTCAGGAAGACTCTCTACTTCGTGACTTCCTCACACCCAACCCAAATGGAGTCTTTTCCATATTTTTATTTTCCCCTTTCCCAAGAAAACCCATGTGCTTCTCTGGAGGTTTGTGCAGATCCAGCTCTGTCAGAAGTGAAATTCCCAGCTGGACACAGGCAGCCTCTGGCTCCTTCACCCTCCCCACCAGCACAAGGATCTCTCCTGGGCAGCAGAGGCAGGGATAAAGCTCATTCCAAGTCACCAGTCCTGGACTTGAACTGAACCCAGCAGCCAGGAGCATGGGGACGCTGGATAACCTTGGAAGTGCTCCAGGCCAGGCTGCACAGGACCCTGGCAACCTGATCTGGAGCTTGGCACAGGATGGTCCTTCCAGTCCCTTCCATCCCAAACCAGGCAGGAATTCCATGGTGATCCCACAGGTAAAACCCATGGGAAAACAGCCACCATGTGGAAGGGCTCCCGTTCCAAAGGCAGGAGCAGTCACGAGCAGCACAAACCAGGAGGGAATTTAAACCTGGGAGTAACTCAGGATCCTGGATTTTGCTGGCATTCCCTCACCCATGCTGCAGCCACAGGGAAAGCCAGCCTTGTTATTCCCACTAATGAAACTGGGAAAATATTATGGAATGAAAAACAGAGCCTCAATAAAGAGGAGAGAGGCAGTGGGGCCAGCAAAAAGGAGCCAGTGGCACACGCTGCTGCCAGGTGGGATGGGGCAGGTGCAGGGATCGGGGATCCAGGATTAGGAATTCAGGCATAGAGTGGTGCCAGAGAAACATCTACATTCTGTAATCCGAGGAAAAGCTGGAGGAGATGCCTCAGGAATATCCCCCAGAGCATTTCCTGCCACCTCAATAATTAGGAAAACCCTAAAAGCAGCTCTGGGATATTTCCCTTTCCTGCTGCTCGCACTGGAACCTGCTCTGCTCCCACCCACACTCTTTTCCCTTTCCAGAAACTTTTCCCAGCTGGATCTGGGGACACAAGGCATTTCCCTGGGAGCTCAGTAGCTGCAAACATGCCCTTCCACAGGCAGGATGAAAGCTGCCTTGTCACCCAAACCCCACGGGAAAACCCATCCACACAGCAAGCAGGAATCCCAGGGAAGGCTGTGTGAGACCAATATATTTATTGGTGTGTGAGGGGGGTGGTTATCCCAAAAAAGCCACGATAAGGAAGACCTACAACCACAAGGATAAACATCATGCCATGAAAGTTATCATCATGTAAAGAGGTGCGTGGACAGGGACCTCCTAAACCTGACTTTAGGGCAGACCAGACCTGTCACAGGGTGTCCTGCTGTGGCCGTGCCAGTCTCGATGGGCATTCCCGATGGGCATTCCTGCCAGGCATCCCTTGGGCATCCCAGCCCGCAGTTCCTGGCTCAAGGCTCGATTTTTCCCCCCGGCGGCCGCGATGTCCCTGTTGGTGCCGGGTTAATTTCTCGCCTTGCCCGTGAACAGCCCATTTAGCGCCACTTCAAATTCCTAATTCCGGGGTTTTACGTGGAAATGGTTTTAGAGTGCGCTGGAAACCCCGGGTTCCTTTTCCAATCTCGCCACGTCTTTAGAAAGCAATTCCTTAAGCCTCCGTTTCCGAGACCCTTTTAATCTCTGCAAATTATTGGTGAGAGCTGAACCGAGGCAAGCCGCCACCACAGCGCAGAGGGAGAGAGGCCAACCGCTGACTATTTAGAGGAAACCATCGCTTTTCGGGCCGAGAAATAAATTAGCATTTATACTGGATTATTGAAAAACGCCCTCCCAAAAAAAATCAGCCTCCATCTCCGTGTCAATTGTGGCGCACCGGGGTCAGCACCTCCGCTGTGACAGGCACGGGCTGGCACGGCAAAGGACAACTTGCGTGTGGAAATGAGCCCCGAGTGTGTCATTATCATCCGGGAGGCAAGCCGGGCTGGGAAATCACAACTGCACTCCTGGAAATCACATCTGCACAGGCCGGCATGCCGGCGACCTTCGGCGGAACGGGGGTAATCAGGGAGCGGGGAAAATCACCCCCAAAAATTAAAACACAAGAGTTTGGCTTCTTGGCTTTTTGCTTTTTGCAATTTCTGCGTATTTACTGGTGGGGTTTTTTTGTTTTGTTTTTTTGGGGTTTTTTTTTTGTTTGTTTTGGGTTTGTATTTTTGTTTTGTTTTGTTTTGTTTGGTGGTTTTTTTGTTTGCTTGTTTGTTTTGGGTTTTTGCTTGTTTGGTTTTGCTTTGGCTTTTTTTTGTTGCTGTTGTTGGTTTTTTTTTTTTTTAATTTGCTTTTAAACTACTTCCCTTGGAATCTGCAGCTTGATCCTGCCAGGGTAGGGAAGGAAAAAAAGTCCGGTTTTGTGTGGAACCTCCAGGTGATGGAGGGTTAGCTTAGAAAAACACCTCTATAAGCAAGAAAGAGTTCAAGGTTAGTGGGCTGGTTTTTTGTGAGACATTTGCCACATCAAAAAGATTTTCTTTACACTCATCACCAATATGAAGTGATGCTTTTTATCCCAAACATCACATTACTGATGTGGGGAAATTCCTGGGCTGCTGTCCGGGGACATCCTGGCTGGATTTTTCTCCCAGTCCAAGGTCCTGGGTGTGAGCAGGGGCTGATGACACACCTGTCCCCTGAGTCCCTACAAACCAGCTCGCTCGTGCCACATCCCAAAATCCCGGCTTACAGGGCCAGTCTGACACAAACAGGGCCACTCCCTCCCAGCCCTTCACCTTATTCTGCCTGCTTTGACCCCAAAGCAGCACTGAGGCCTCGGGGAGATCCCAAATGCCCCAGTGGCTTGCAGGCAATCCTGCCTACAGCACCAGGAGCAGCCTGTCCCTTCCCAGAGGAAAGCAGGGACACCACGCTCTGCCTCTCATCCATCCATCCATCCATCCATCCATCCATCCATCCATCCATCCATCCATCCATCCCCAGGGCAGGGTTCCTGCTTTGCCAAGCTGCTCCCTTGGAGAGAGGTTTCAGCAGCTCCACCCTGGAGTGTGAGCCCCAGAAAGGAGGGGACCTGCTCCAGTAGGGAGGGAAATAAAATAAAGTAAAAAAAAGTAAAGTAAAAAAAAAAAAGTAAAGTAAAAAAAAAGTAAAGTGAAAAAAAAGTAAAGTGAAAAAAAAGTAAAGTGAAAAAAAAGTAAAGTGAAAAAAAGTAAAGAAAAAAAAATAAAGAAAAAAAAGTAAAGAAAAAAAAGTAAAGAAAAAAAAGTAAAGAAAGGAAAGAAAAATAAAGAAAAATAAAGTAAAGAAAAAAGTAAAGAAAAATAAAGAAAAAGTAAAAAAGTAAAATAAAGTAAAAAATGTAAAATAAAGTTTAAAAAGGCAAAATAAAGTTAAAAAGTAAAATAAAGTAAAAAAAGGCAAAATAAAGTTAAAAAGTAAAATAAAGTAAAAAAAGGTAAAATAAAGTAAAAAATGGTAAAATAAAGTTTAAAAAGGTAAAATTTAATAAAAAACCTAAAATTAAAAGTAAAATAAAATATTAAAAAGTAAAGTAAAATAAAATAAAATAATAAAATGATCAGCCTTTGGAGGAAGACTCTGATGAAGGCAGAGCTGGGCTCAGACACGGTTCAGCAGTTCACTGGTACCACTGGTGACACTGGTGGGCACCGGGGGCTGTGCTGGGGGCCCGACCCCAGGGAC